AAAAAAATTAGTTTTTGTAACATGCTTGAAGGAAGGAACTCAAACTAACGCTACAACCTTGTGAGACTTGAGCCTAAACGTTTATTTGGAGAGTTAATAATCTGTGCATTGTTGTTTTCTAAAAGTCGTTGCATGATCTCATTATTCTTTGCTTGGTTGCTACTTAGAAGGCGTTTCATCATTTAGTTCCAAACACTAGAACTCATGCCCAATTCATTCAAAGCATGTTATTGAATTGCATAACACATATTCAAGATGAAGTTGTGTAGTGACCACCATAGCCAAATTGCCATATTTCCCTATTTCATTTGTAGGATTTAACCCCGTTGAGCCTTGTGTAGCCTACTTTCTTTGTTAACCCACAATTATCCTCACCTAGCCTAGAGTAGGACCAGCCATACCTTTGTTCTTGAAGCATAGTAAAAGCATAACTCAAGATGAATTCCTTTTGATCATTGCATTGCAGAAAACAAGTGTGGGGGAAGGATTCTTGATATATGGGTGTGCCAAAGTCTTGAATAAGGCACGGCAAAGAAAAGAAAAAAAAAAAAAAAAAAAGAGAAAAAAAATTTCGTGGAAAATAAGGAGAAAAAAAGAAAAGTTGTGAAAAGAATGAAAAAAGGAGTTGAAAAGATGTGAAAAAGTGTTCTCAAGTGTTGTTTGTTGAAGGAAGGGTCCAAAACATTGAATTCGGCCCTAAGTGATTGCTTGAACCTTCCCTTTGAGTTTAAAAGTTGATTTCGGCATTCTAATGGGAATTCTAAGTTCAATTTCATTATGTTGCTTACTATTGCTTTAAAGAACGTTTGTTTTCCCTATCCTTTCATTGTTAGCCAATTCCCCAAGCCCCGTTACAACCCTTGACTTTAATCTTGAGTGTTGTGTGTTTCAATTTGTGGAGTTTGAATTTGGTTTGAGCATATGGTGTCACTGGTTCTCGCATCTAAGTAGTAGCGTTCCATTCATGAGATCATATCTAAACATGTTATTAACTCCGAAAAGTGCTTTCTTTGTCATACATATATGTGAGCATTCGTTTTCATATTTACATCTATCTTCTCACATATAACTAGTATAGGGTGTGTAGTTAGAAAATCTGAGTGAAAATAGAGTGCATATCTTGTAAGGAATTGAGGAAATTCTCTAAGGCATGTTACTACATTCATAATCATGTTTTAATTGGTTATGTGTGAACTAATGAGTAGTGACTATGATTAAGTAAATGCTTAAGCGTAAAGAAGGCTAAAATCTGTGGGAATGATGATTTTTAACATGTCATGTGCATTGGAAATCCCTGAGGCGATTGTTGGAAGGTGTAGGTTGTGTTTTACTCGTTTTACTTCGTTTATTTACTTTGTTTCATTTTGTTTTGCTCGAGGACTAGCAAAAGCTAAGTGTGGGGGAATTTGATAGGAGCATATTTATGCACCTTAGTTTAGCTTGTTCTTGTGCATTTATAGTGTTTTTCCTTAGTAAAGTAGTCTTTTAAGCTAGTTTTATGTATTTTCAGGTTTTAAGGGCAAAGTATGCAAAAGGATGCATTTTGGAGCCTTTTGGAGCAAATTAGAGCTTGGAATGGACATCATATGCTTGGAGCCAAGAGGATGGACGAAATTGAAGACTTGAAGATGATGATTCCTACTTGAGCAAGGTTTCCTAGTTGAAGTAGGAAAGTCCCTAATGGAAGATGGTTTCCTAGTTGAATTAGGATTCCTAGTTAAAATGGGTTTCCTAGTTGAATTAGGATTCCTAGAAGAACAAAGTTGCCTACTCAAACAAGGTTTCCTACTTGAAGTAGGAAAGTCAAAATCCAAATGGTCTCAAGAGAAGCAACAAAGAAGTTTTCCAAGTCCAAGAAGGAAAAGGAGTCCAAGATGAAGAAGGAATGATGAAGACAAGGTTTCCTAATCCTAATAGGCAAAGTTTCCAAGTGCAATGAGGAGTCCTTATCCATTTAGGGCACCTTATCCATTTAGGACACCTTATCCTAATCCTATAGGGATGCCATGCACTTTACCTTATCTTGGAGGGTTTCTAGAAGCCTTAGATGCCCTATCCTATCTTTGCCGTGGGTTTTATCCAAATCCCCTTAGTTTTTGGGGTTTCTAGAAGCCCTAACATTATCCCTACAAAGGTGCCGCACCCTTATCCCTTTTTCCCTACAAATTTGGCCCTTAAAACATGTTTCTAGGAACCTTATCTTATCTCCTACAAAAGTGGCGCCCCAAATCCTTCTAGAAAGCTGATTTCCCTTGCCTTGCAAGGCATTCTAGAAGCCTTATCACCTTATCTCCTTACCTGCCGCACCTAGGAAGCATTATCCCTTTCTATTTCTGATTTCTAAGCCTATTTCCTTGTGGATTTGGGTTATTCAAGTCCATATCTGATTACCCTAGGGTTTTAAGTGCCTATATATACTCATATTAACCCCTAGATCAGATCACCACCTCTCATACACATTCATTAATTCCAGAAATTCGTCCAACTTTCTCCACACCCTTGCCGCAGCCACCAAACACCTTTCTCCTTAGTTTTAAGCCTTGCCGCACCATCCCCTTCCCCTAAACACTACTATATCCCTCCACGACCATACATCCATACACCTAAGGCTCTAAAACCTGTCCCTAGACCTTTGCCGCACCAAGGAGGAGGAGAAGGAAACTCGGAAGTTCATGCAATTCGAGTTCGCGTCGCTGAAATTTCTAGGTGTTTCTTTTCCTTTGATTTCAATGTTTAATTTCAATTCTCTTTGTTTTGTGCATATGAGGAACTAAACCCCCCTTGGCTAGGGGGGGATTCAAAATACATGTTTATGCTTGCGATATGATTTGATTCCTTCTAATTGCGTTTCATAAGTTGTGAATTCAATTTACTTATCTATGTGAATTATATTGATTTGTGTGTGTTGGTTGAGAGTGCACGCTTAATTATCATGCATAAATTTAATGCTAGGATATAAGGAAGTTTCACCTAATCGTTATGGAATTATATTCACAAGTAGTAAAAGTTGATAATCTCAATTGCGTTAAGTAAATTCTTGGCATAAGTTTCATCCAATTCATAGTAACAAGTGCTTCGTCAATGCTTATGGTTTTCAAAAGAACTTAATGATTCTTGCTTGTATCTCTATTATGCAATTCATGTAGGGAACTTGTGGGGAATGTTTTGGGTTGTCGTATGCAATCATCCAATTCAATAACGTTAGGAAAATCTGAGGGTTAATTAGTGCAATTCACGGTTAATCTGGGGCGTTGAGAATTCATGGGTTATTGAAAAGCAATTGGAAATCGTTTTATATGCAAGTATAACATGTGTGGAGATGAACCCCTTAGCTAGCTTCCCATCCATTCAATTCCATCAAATTCGTTTTTACAATCTGTTCTAATTTAAAAAGTTTGTTTTGTTTTTAATTTCGTCCAAAACCAATCCCCCTTACTTTGTTGAGTCATAGTAGTTAAAAATCACTTTAGTTTGTGTTTTTAAGTGTCTTAGGTCAAGTTAAAACCAATTTTCGTCCAAAGTTGTGTCTAGTGTTCAAAACTGCCCAGATTGTGTTTTTAAGGCAGTTTTGAGTGTTTTCTTGCTGTTTTGAGTCTTTTGGTTTGTTTTGGTGTTTTAAAGTTTAGTTTTGCATTCTTTGAGTCTAGTATAGTGTTTTATATTGTGTTTTTACGTTTTTGAGTCAAATCCAAGTGATTAACAACCCCTCCTAATCCCCGGTCCAGAACGATCCCTACTTACATTCTTCACTACAATTGACAAAAAGAGGGTTTAATTTGTGTGCGTATAATTCTCGCATCATAGGTCATTGGTTGGAGCTCTTCCATGCCTAGCATAACATGGTCCTGAATCGATCTTTCTTTTGCTGTTAACCAAACGTGCCAGTTTATGCACTCTTCAAGGCAAAGATCATCTCACTGATGTCTAAAGAATTTTACATTTTCTCAAGGGCACCATCAATCATGATTTGTATATGGTTCAGAAAGGGTGACCGGGCAAGTTGTGTGTTTGATAGACGATCTACTAGTGGATATTGTATCTTTTTGAGGTGAAATTTGATTAGTTGGAGTGCCAAGAAACAGTTTACTGTTGCCCGTTCGTCTACCGAGACAGTGTACAGATCTCTTGCTCATACTACTGCAGGTATCACTTGGATTATCTCTGCCATATCTCTTGCTTCTTTCTAATCACTCGGTTCCACGGTCGTACAAACATGTTGGAATAGATTATCGTCTCTTTGAAATAGATTGTCATCTCTCTTGCTCATATTCTGAAAGTGCAGTACGTGTTTGTTTGAGTAGCGGTGCTTTGTGCTTAAGAATTAGGAATTCTTGGAGTCGAAACACACAAAGGCGCAGTTTTCAGAGTGCAGAGAAGAGTATCGAGACATGTGGAGCGACGAGTCAAGATGGCCTCACAATTTGAAGAGTTAGGGACGAGAGATTCTCTCATATCACCAACTCACCGTGTGCCAATCGTTCATTGGATAAATTCTACACCTTTCTGAACACGCAGCAAGATGCTACAGGGACTAAAACTTCATTGGATAAGAAAATCTCTCGCTGGGAGAGGTATCATTGACAAAAAATTTGCTTCTGGTGGTAGAAGGGAAGAATATAATGTCAAAGATGCTGAAGCAGCACTTGGATTCACCAGAAATATTCAAGTACATCTCGGTCAAGCATATTAAAAAAGGAGCTGAAAAAATCACAGAACTGCCACCATTAGCTTAATCAAATGGCGGTAATTCTTCTGTATTATTTTCAAGAGCTTGAGCTCTATCTCCCTAATCTTGGGGAGCATCGGGTAGGGAGTCCCCGTGGAGAGGTTTTCGTCTTGAATAATAGCTATAACTTACAACAGTTTGGTGACGTGCTAGGAAAAAAAGATTGCAACTCAATTCAACGAAGCATATGAAGCGAAATCACTGGAGTAGAAAGCAAGTTGATAGTTGATACACATTTGTAAGCATACAAAATGCAGACCAAACAACGCAACAGTTGAAAAGACGTCTCAGACAAATGGCTGAAGTCTTAAGTATATTAAACGAGTGCAGTATTTATCAAACAGGAAACCCCATTAGCAGAAATTTCAAAATTAAATACTCCCCCTTTCAATGGTAGTACAGAATCTGCTACTAAGCAATTATTAGAGGACAAACAGAAAAAAAATCAACACAACCAGAGACTGGGAGCACATAAATCTTGAGACTTTGTTTGCCAGCCGACTGTCATTTCTATGCTGCGTCATTCCTTCTTTCCAATCCCATGAGACATGTTGTAGATCCCTCGTCCCTGGAGAAAATGCCATCAGACCTTACAATGAGATTGCAACAAAAGCAAGGAAAACTACTTTTTTTTTCACATACAAAAGGCTTACAAAGTCTTAAAAGAAATGAAGTAATTAGAAACTCACAATAAGGAACAACGAAGTAGCAGCTAAAGCAGCTGGAATGGCAACAGAGGTAATCTTATCAAACGGTCCCTTCAGGTATGTGTGTTTGTGGATGCTTTGGAAAATCTTTTGCTTCTCATAGAGCTGCTCACGTGGTCGGAAGGGTGTTTCTGACATCCTGTATTATGGACATTATTAAAAGGTCATTCTATGAAAGTAACTTCCGAAAGCTACATTTCTCCACAGGCGGAAAAAGCTTATTGTTCTATATTGTAGAGGTTCCCACACCAACTCGAAATATCAACACTGTGCATAAGCACCACAAACCCAGATGGGGGAGGCACAGGGCCTTAATTGCCACACACATGCGTGCGCACAAACACACATGCACACGCGCACGCGCGCGCACACACACTGTGCTATAGAGGCTCCAACAAAATCACACCAACTTAAAACATCAACACCATACAAAATCACACACTACGTTCAGGAAGACCCTTAGCAGTTGGGTATCAATCGATGGTAGTTAAAGCACTTCATCAGAGAACATAATATTGTCAATTAAGTTCCGATACAATTCTGGAAAAACATCACGGTGGACTGAATGGATTCTTTTTGAGCCATTAAGAGAATAAAGAGAAACATTTATTCACATTTTCCATATTTTCTAATTTCCATCACAGGCTTGCATTTCCAACTGAATGTTGTGTAATACTCGAAAAACGGAAGCGAATAAACCTCGTTTACATTAATTACCAATGCTATAATCATGACAATAACTGTTAGCCACCCCGTTAATAAAGTACATGATCTGAAAAAGACTGAAACCCAATTTTACAATCTGACAACAACCTTGACGTAAAATACATTAAAAATGTCATAAACCTAATTTGATGAACATTAAAGCTAGAGGCAACTGAAAATTTCAGAATTACAAGAATACCATGCCAAACTCATCATCAGCTACAAGGAGGCTAATACAGCCCCTTCCCAATCAGCCCACATACTGGTAAACTAAATTAAACAAATTGGTAATTTACGAAGCTTCGTGTCATATGCCCGAGGCATACCATACACAATTGCAATTACACTATCTTATCCGATCTCTTAACCAATGACGCACAGCCAAACCCCAATTGAAACTGAAGACTTTTTTCCCCATTTTCTATACATAAAAGCAGCAGCCTTCAGATTGCAATTCTAAAAATTGCGCTTTCCCCTCAATTCCAACCTCAACGCCCAAATCAAGAACCCTAGAGTATCAATCATTTGCAAATTGAATCGAAAACTGAAAACTCAGAACGCCACATCAAGATCGAATCAATGAAATCATTTCCAAAATTCACCCCTCCCCTGAAAAACTTGGAAACCCGTACACAAACATCAAGTCGGTTCAATAAATATAAACATATCGAACAAATACCAAAGATAGTCGATAAATCACAACAAAGTAATTGGAAAAAGAATACAAAGGCAACAAAACCTAACCCTAGATTTAAGTGTTAACGCAAATCATATTGGTGTGTGTTCGAATATTTGATTGGAAATTGGAGATTGGGTGGAGGGAATCTTACGTGAAATTGCGAGTGACTGGAGCTGGAGAGCAATCAGGAAGACGAAGAAGGTGAAAAATGAAATGGTGATTTCGAGTGCAATTGAGGTATACTCTCCGGTTATATTTGTACAGTTTGTTGCGGTCGATAAATGTAATCTTGGAATGTCATCAATGATTTTTTACTTTTTACTTTTTCTCTTTTTTTTTTTTTTCGAATAAAAAAAGATAGGAAGTGCGTCAAGTTGTTGATAGCCGACATTTTATCCTTCACGTTTGATATGAATTCTAAACAAAATTGTGCTAAAGGTAGGTTGTCACCCGGAAGTGACGGTTGCAAGGTCTGGGCACAATGATAAGTGCGTAAATGTCGTTGTATCTCCATAGAAGCTCGAACATAGTGTTAAACAAGTAAGGACATTGTAGAAACTTATTTTTGAAAGATTCCACTCAAAATTGTTTGGAAGCATTTGCTGATATCAACTTTACCCAGGATACCCAAAAGACGTATTTTGATCATACGGGACGAGTGAGGTCAAATAAGCTAGGACACGAGGGTAGGTTCATAAGAGTAGAATGCATTTCAGAACATGGAATATAGGAACTTTAATGGGAAATTTTATGGAAGTAATAGAAGTTATGTTGAGAAGAACGATAAGTATTATGTGCCTCTAGAAAACTAAGTTGGTCTTAAGGTGAAGGATCTCGAAAAACCAAGCTTTAAGCTTTGGTATTCGAGCACAAACATATCAAGAAACAATGTCGGCATCATCATGGATAAGACTTTGGCAAAAGATAAGGTAGATGTTAAGAGGGCCGGGTATAGAATTATAGTAATTAAGATTGTGATAGGACCAGAACTCATCAATGTGATTAGTGCGTATGCACCTTGATAGGATTTTTACCACCTGCAAAAGTATGAATAAAAACACTTACAATACTTGCAAGAGTACAAGGTAATTGTATTATAGTTGGCTCTAGCAAGGTTGTTCTCCACAGAGATTGGATGAATAATTTTTATTAAACCAAATCTTAATTAATTATTTAAAACAAAGTTTGAAAAAATGTTGATTTTGTGATTTAAAATAATAAAAACGAATTTAATAAAAATAATTAAAGAAATTAGCAAATTAAAGAAAACAAAAAAAAGTTTTTGAAAATTAAATTGTAAAAGCACTAGGGTTCCACCGTCACCTTACTAATCCTACGTAATTCTTTCAATTACTTATGACTTATACATGCATATTTGAAGGTTAGGTTTTCCTAATACATGCCTACTTGGAACCCCCAACATAGAGCGTATATCAAACATGCAAGACTCATTAAGTTTTGTGAAATATTTTGAAAAATCATGCAACCCTTAAAACGTGGTATTCATCCTAAGTGAACTTGCACAAATTAACCACAAAAAGCCTTCGTCAATTTCAAGGACTGACCTCCGACCAAAATTGGATCAAATTACTTTTCTAAATATCCCATTGGTGATCAAATATTAAGACAAATAGATAGTTTAAACACGGTGATTAATAATTCAAAACCTGCATGCATAAAATCGTAAGCAAATTGAAAAAAAAACTACATATTCTTGTTAAGGCTTATGGCATCGCCTTAGCAAAAGGAAATTAGTTACAAACAATCATAAAATAAAATATTATTAAAAATAAGGATAGAAAACACCTTGAAATACAAATCGTCAAGGCCTAGCAAAGTTCTCCAAAACTAATGCATTCTTCTCCTCTTCTCTCCAAAACCCTAATGGCTAAAAAATCTTATTTATACTACTATAAAATAAAATCCTTATTATAAAAGGTCATCTATAAACTAGGAAACATAATAACTTAAGAGAAACTAGGAAACATAATCCTAATCAAATATGGGAAATCTGTCCAGCCATAAATCAGCCACGTTTCTGGATCTTTAAGCTCCAAAACAAGCACAAAATGGCTAGAATTAAAGCTTGAGATGTTCCGAACATAATTGCAAAAGGCTTCGAACCCAAAAGACATCATCTTGGACGCCAAAAAGCCCAAATAAGCCTAAAACATCACTTTGACAGTACTGCACACTGCTCCTTTATTTCATCACCATAAATTATCCGCTTTGTAGAAAAATCTGAAACTTTGACATGAACTAGCTGAGAGACTCACGAACATCTTCCAATTAGAATCACTCCAAAATTCATCCGTTTGGCTACTTTTTGCTTAAGAGGAAGTCGAATGTCCTACATTGGAAATATAATTCAAAGTATCAAAATTCTCACAAAATAACCAATAAACTAATACTAAGATTAGGAAAAAATATATAACATAGAATTGACTCATTACACCTTAAGTGTGGTTAGATAGAAGTCTGAAGGATGATAGGAGCATATTCATGCGACTTAAATGGCTTGTTCTCGTGCATTTACGTTATGTTTCTCTAGTTATTTTAGTCCTTTATGCTTCTTTTGTGTGTTTTCAGGTTCTAAGGGCAAGGTATGCAAAAGGATGCCTTTTGGGGCCTTTTGGAGCAAATTAGAGATTGGAATGGATATCATATGCTTGGAGCCAAGAGGATGGACGAAATTAAAAACTTGAAGTAGGAAAGTTAAATCCTAAAAGACCTCATGTTTAAGCATCATTGAAGACTCCTACGCATTTTAGAACACAAAAACAACATTCTTTGCAACCTTAGGACATTGTCGTGTGTTTCCTTGTGTCTCCCTTCCTTGCCATGCAAGGAAGGGCTTTGTTCCCTATTTTAAACACTTAAAGCATTCACTTATCAAACCAATCACTTATCACTTCCATTCACTTATCACTCACCACATATCATTCATTTATCACTTAACATATCATTCATTTATCACTTATCATATCATTCATTTATCAATTATCAAACCATTCACTTATCACTTCCATTCACTTATCACTCACCACATATCATTCATTTATCACTTAACATATCATTCATTTATCACTTATCACAACAACAACCTAAAACACATGCACATGCACCACTAATCCCTTCACTTTCATGCCATCATTTCTCACCCCCCCCCTTTGCCGTGCAATACACATCAACACATTCCAGCTTTTCTCCTTCTCTTTGCAGCCACAAGTCACATGCATTCACACATAATCATTCACCCTATCCATCTTACATTCCACAAACAATGTCACATGCAAAACAACAATCATTCACACACAAAACAGCACCATTTCCTTCACTCACATTTCCAGCTTTCCACCTTGCATTTCCACATGCATTCACTTCATCATTACACACCACTCATTCTCTAATTCCACATGCACATTCAATCATTCACTCAAGCACCCTTGTGCCATGTTTCCCCCTTTGTTCCCACCCATCACATGCATTATCATCAAACAAACAACCCTAACCCGTGGCCTTCACTCACATTTCCAGCTTGCTTATGCAATTCCAGCATGCATTCACATGCATTTTCAGCACCATTGACACCTTTGCCGTGTATTCCCTTCATCATTCCAGCATTCCACCTAATTCACATGCCTTCATTCATTCTTTATTCCACTTACACTCATCATCACACACCTTAGCAATCAACACATGCAATCACATGCATCACAACCACAAAGAACCATCCCCAAAACACTTTGCCGTGGGCACCATTCCACATTCCAGCTTTCCACCATGTTTTTCCATCATTTCCTCCACACAAACACCTTAAACAAACAGCCATTTACACCTCCATTACTCCTATAAATACCCTTGCATTCACTCCCCATTCAATGGACATATCTCTCCATTTCTCACACCACAACACAAACACACACCATCTTTACATCCTGAAATTCCAAGCCTTGCCGTGGGTTTCTTTCCATTTTCTATCTTTCCTCATCCATTTTCCATAATTCCCCAATCCATTCAACACACCAACAACATCCCTTAGACCTTGTGCCATAATAACGAAGAAGAAGAGTGCCTAAACGTTCATACAATTCAAGTTTGAGTTGTTGGAATGTTTAGGTGTTTCTTTGATTTCAAAGTTTAAATTCAATTTTCTTTGTTTTGTAATGGAAGAGAAGAGTGCCTAAACGTTCATACAATTCAAGTTTGAGTTGTTGGAATGTTTAGTTGTCTCTTTGATTTCAAGGTTATGAGGAACTAAACCCCCTTTAGCTAGGGGGTGATTCGAAACTATGTTTATATTTGCAATATGAATTGATTACTTTTGGTTGGAATTTCATAAGTTGTGGATTCAATTAGTTTAACTGTTTGATTGATAACGTATTTATGTATGTTCATTGAGATTGCAAGCTTAATTTTCATGCATGAATATGACGCTTATAAACAATCGCTTTAAACGAATTCTTGGCATAAGTTTCATGCGTATTCCATAGTAACGAATGCCTCGTCAATGTTTATGATTTCCGTTGGACTTAATGATCTTTGTTGAATGTCTCTATCATGCGTATTCCATAGTTAGGGACTTTGATTAAGAATAATTTGGTTGTAATGCGTATTCCATTCAATCCAATGAATCTAGGGAAATCTGAAAGTTAATTTAAGCGAACCTAATTAACTTGGAGCATTGAGTTTCATAATTTATCGAAAGACCAACCGAAAATCAATCTTGTATTGCAAGTGTAACATGTGTGGAGAAGAACCCCTTGGCTATTCCATCATCCATATTTTCATCACATTCATATTTACGTTTATTCGTTTTACAATTTGCTTAGTTTATTAACTTGTTTTGTTATTTCAATTTTCGTCAAATCAAACTTCCCCCCCTTATTTTGTTAAGTCTTAATCATTTGATTTGTCTTATTTTATGTTTTTAAAGTATTTGGAGTCTTTTGAACTTGTTTTGAGTCTTTTAAGTTTGTCTTAGTGTTTTAAAAGTTAGTTTTATTTATTTAAGTCAAGTGTTTAGCATCCCTAGTTAATCCCCGGTTAGAACGATCCCTACTTACATCATTACTACAATTGTCACAAATAGGGTTTAATTTGTATGCGTATAATGCTCGTATCAAATTTTGGCGCCGTTGCCGGGGATTGGCAAAATTGCTAATCCCTTGTCTTGAGTCTTGTTTAAATTGTTTAGTTTCTATTTTGTTTTAATTTTTTTGCACCGTGTGTATGTGTTTTGTTTTTGTGCCGTGTGTGGCAACTTGTTTTCTTACTTGTGCCAAGTATATTAAGTT